TATCTTCCACCAATGCCAGGCTTTGTTCCTCTCCTAGATTGGGTCAATCGCATGTAGTCCAGGGTGGTTTTGAAGGTGCCAAGAAACAAACAGATCTTTGTTTCCCCAGTGATAGGATTACAAGTGTGCCATCTCTTCCTAGCCTCTTGGATTAATCTAGTGACTTGTAAATCCTCTGATCTTCAGGCACATTATTTAGGGTACAGAATTTACCACCACACATACCTGGGAGAAACACTAAGTCGATCTGACATTGGTATGCACCGCTGCATGCCACTAAAATGTGATGGCTATTTAAGCATACCTCTACTCTTGCAATTGCATCAGCTGCATATACATGCATAATTCTTTCACTATGAAACCCAGGGAACATTCTAATGTATCCTGTGGAAGAATGGTGAAGTGAAAAATGTATGAGTGACTTATATTATTTAATAAGCTGAAAAAAGTTGAAAGATAGATTTTTCCCATGTATTCTAGCCCTGAGATGCTGCCCATTGGCTAGTATTAGGTCTCATACCCATGCATACTCAGGTGCTTTACATGAACACAGATAACAAAAAATAGAGCAAGTACATGATCAATGAAAGGATTAGTATTTGCAGACTAATTCTAGTGAAGGGAATGTAGTGAATTTGTTCAAAATTTCAATGATCCAACATTAATCCTGAACAGGAAATTTTATGAGTATGAATGGGCACTGGGAAACCAAAATTAATGCCAAATGGATGCAGACATGTATGGAACCACACAAAACATCAGACAAACAAATGTACAATTACTGAAGGTATATCTGTATCCTGAATATTTCTTTCTAAAAAGAATACAGCAGATTATTGCTTAATCAACATGACACTGCAGGATATGGTATGCAAATTAGGTATGTTCCAGGCAGGGCTTCAAAGCCACAACTTTATTTACACAACAAGCATGCCATGTCAGGCACTCATGTATACACACACACACACACACACACACACACACACACACACACACACACACATGTATTTTGCTCATTTAACCACTCAATTTGAAGCATTTAATCATTTCTGTTTTGGAAGTGACATGGCACATCAGAAATTGTCAGCAGCAAGCAGCAACTGGCAGCAGAGAATCATAGTCGTCCATCTCTAGGCAGAAATGGAGGCTTTTGTGTAGATAGGCAGGATGTAGACATAAGCAGAGGGATTAATCATCACCCCTTACTTGCCACATGTTGTTTTTTCTTTCCTTTTGATAACTGGAGTGAGAACCCAGGATCAATTATATTCTTTCCCCTCTCGTGTACTTTCAGTTTAGCTGCTTCTGCTGCTACATGTATTTAGAGGGAGACAAGAATGAGTCAGCAGCTCCTGTGTTCATCTCCAAGGTAACCTCAGGATTTGCCTCCATTGCTGGAATTGAGATCACTGTCCTTATTGGTTCTTATTCTACAATGAATTTGAATGCACACTGTCCTTCAATCAGAAGCAAGGAGTGCTTATAAAAGAGACAGCATTGAGAGCTCTTACCAGTCAGGCTTTGGCCATATTCCAGGACACAGTGGGTCCTGGAAATGACTAAAGCCCGACTGTATCTTGGATAGACAAGGCCGACTGCTCCTGACATATACAGGAGTCAGAGCCTGTGGAAAACAGCAAAGGCAGGGATTGTTTGATTCCTAACCTTGTAATTCCTAGTCACCTGCTCTGTCTCCTGTGCAGGAAATGTTAGCATCAGGATTCTGAAGCAGCTACTTCTCTTTTAAGATTGGATATTGCTGTGACAGATTTGAAATGCTGTATCATCTGTTAGGAAGGTAGTCCATTGCAGATGTTAGTATATGACAGATACTAGTGGAGTCAGGCTCTTTCCTTCATCCTGGGAGAATACTGTGGGAACTGATATGGCATTGTCAGTGTTCACAAGCAACCCTTAGAGTCTATGAATATATCACATATTGTCATTTGCTGATGAGACACTACCTGTCACAAAATGCATATGTTCACAATAAAATGTAGTACAGAAAACTAAGATGCTATCATCCTGTTGCCTTTTATCATCACAGATTCAACTTTCCAAGCTTGATTTGGATTCCCTTTGCATTTTGGCATATACAAGCTGCAGTTCTTTGTTCTTCTTTCCTAGTCAGCCCATTCCTCTTTATGTTATCAGGCCAGGTCTGAGCTTTGTTGGAAATCAGTTATTTCCTGGTGCTGAGAGGATGGTATTACATAGTTACCTTCTAAATTATTCATACACCCGATTTCTTTGTTCTTGTTTATGTTTTGTTTGTTGTATAATTGTGCAGATCTTGTCACTGAAACCTCAGTCTATGAACTCCTATGTCTGATAGTATGTTGGAGATTATGTAACACTGATTCTACAGATTCTACCACCTCTGAATCTGTTTGATTTTTTTCTGCCTTATTTTCAAAGACTATTGATGCTTAAAGGGTGGGTGAGATGAAGTCAAGTAACATCACACATAGTACACCTAAGCCTGACAGCCATATAGAAAGACCAGACCTGCACATCTTTGCTTTATTTTGCAACTAGTACATGATGGAACACCTCTGGTTAGAGACCTTTACTGCCCAGATCCAATGGGTACATATACGAGGTCCCACAGATTTTTGCTAGTTAGATCTGAGCTTGATTTACCAGCAAGGCTGCATAAGAGGTGATCAGACCATGTACCTGGTTACTCAGTATTTTGAAGGGTCTACATTTGTTTTTAACAATTGGACATGGAGGTAAAATTATCAGTTTTACCGAGATTTTTTATAGTGCCCTTAGCTGATTTTTGCAAATTAACAGAAGCAAGGGGATATGAGTAGAAATAATAGCCATAACACTGGCTTAATAAACAAGCAAGAGAAGATTAATAGTGCCAATAAATGTTAAAGGACCTGATTTTTAAAAACAAGAAGAATATGGGAGAATATAACTTTTGATTATTCTGCTATTTTGCAATGCAGGACATTCCTAAGGGTAGCACTTGTTCATTGCATGAGGGATTACAAAAGAAGTGTGGAGATACTGGGTTGATCTGAAAATTTTTATCCATGAGGCAGACCACCAAGTTTGAAAGTCCAGGAAGACAAAGGATAGTTTCAGAGATACAAAATTTATAGTGGTATTGGTTGCATAAACACAACAGGTGTTTGGTCTCTGAGTAACATCCCTCAAGTTATTTTATGTTTATCTATTTATAGTCTACACCACAATGTAGATGGATATATCAGCAAGCTAAGTACTCTGAGTTATGAAGTACCCAGAAATATTATTAAAATATACAAATAAAAATATGACATTTTGTGTTACCCTCCAATTCTAGGACACAAGGCATAGGTACTGGATAGTTACAGTAAAATACCTGAGCTTTAATGTACTGTTGGCTTAACATATTCAGTGAATTCCATAACTGTTGTTCAAAGAGTAGATGGACATTTTAATTTAAAAAAAAAAGAAACTCATATTGGCATAAATTCTGACAGATGGGAGAAACAAAGGAAAAAGACACTGCCATGTCTCACTTTGTCAACTCCATGAATATTCTGAATGAATGTCTCTGCTTCTTAGCCAAAAGCTATCCAGGCTAAAAGCATCTAGTTCCTGTCTCCTCATGCCTGATATACCTTTATCTGCCAGGCCATCACTTCTTTCCTAGTGCCTGGATTGATGGCATATGTACATCCCAAATATTGGGATTAAAGGTGTGAGATCTCAAGTGCAGGTAATAAAGGCAAATGCCTATCAATTATTAGAATTAAAGGTTTATTCCACCAATGCCTGGCTTTGTTTCTCTCCTAGATTGGGACAATCCAGTAGTCCAGGGTAACATTGAGGTGCTGACATACAAACACATCTCTGCTTCACCAGTGATAGGATATCAGGTGATGCCACCACTTCCTGGCATCTATGATTAATTAGTGGCTTGTCTTGTCTCTGATCTTCAGGCACACAATATATCACCACACATACCTGGGAGAAACACTATGTCTGTCTGACATTGGTGTGCACCTCTGCATGCCACTAAAATGTGATGGCTATTTAAGCATACCTCTACTCTTAAAATTGTGTCAGCTGCATATGCATGCATAATTCATCATTATGAAACCAAGGGAACATTCTAATGTATCGTTGGAAAAAGGGTGAGTGAAAAATTTATGAGTGACATATTATTTTGTAAGCTGGCAAAATTGAAAGGTTTTTTTTTTCTCAAGTATTCTAGCCCTGAGATGCTGCCCATGGGCTAGTAGTTGGTCTCATACCCATGCATACTCAGGTGCTTTACATGAACACAGATAACAAAAAATAGAGCAAGTTTATGATCCATGGATGGAGTAGTGATTGCAGACTAAATCTAGTAAAGTGAATGTAGTGAATTTGTTCAAAATTTCAATAATCTCACATTAATACTGAACAGAAAAGTTTATGAGTATGAATTGGCACTGTGAAAACAAAATTAATGCCAAATGCAAGCAGACATGTGTGGAACTACAAGAAAAATCAAACAGACAAATATGTTATTGCTGAAAGTATATATGTATCATGAATATATCTTTTTAAAAGGAAGACATCAGACTACTGATTCATCAACATGACACTGTAAGATATGATATGCAAATTAGGGATGTTCAGAACAGGTCTTCAAAGTCACATCTTTATTTATAATACAAGCATCCCAATTCAGGCACTATGTACACACATACACACACATATGTATATATGTATTGCTCAAGTAAGAACTTAATATCAAACATTTATTCATTTCTGATAGGGAAGCTAACATGTCATATCAGAATCTGTCAACAACAAGCAGCAACTGGCATCAGAGAATCACAATCGTCCATCTCTAGGCAGAAACGGAGGCTTTTGTGTAGATAGGCAGGATGTAGATGCAAGCAGAGGGATAAATCATCACCCCCTACAAGCCACAGGCTGTTTTTTTCCTTTTGATAATTGGAGTGAGAACTAAGGATCAATTACCTTCTTTCCCTCTCATCCACTTTCAGTTTCGCTGTTTCTGCTGCTACCCATATGCAGGTCAGAGACAAGAATGAATCAGCATCTCCTGTGTTCATCTCCAAGGTAAGCTCAGGATTTGCCTTCATTGCTGGAATTGAGATCACTGTCCTTATTGGTTCTTATTCTACAATGAATTTGAATGCACACTGTCCTTCAATCAGAAGCAAGGAGTGCTTATAAAAGAGACAGCATTGCAAGCTCTTACCAGTCCGGCACTGGCCATATTCCAGGACACAGTGGGTCTTGGGTGTGGCTAAAGCCCAACTATACACTGGATAGGCAAGGCAGACTGCTCCTGACATGTACAGGAGTCAGAGCCTGTGGAAATCAGCAAGGGCAGGAACTGTTTGATTCCCAGCAGTATAAGTCCTAGTCACCTGTTCTGTCTCCTGTGCCGGAGGTAGCATCCTGCTTCTGAATCAACTCCTTCTCTTCTAAGATTGATATTACTTTGTCAGACTTAAAATGCTTTATCATATGTTAGGAATGCAATCTATTTCAGACCTTAGTATATGACAGATTCTGTTGGAGGTTACTGTGGGAACTGATATAGCATTGTCAGTGTTCACAAGCAAACCTTAGTGTCTATGAATATATCAGGCAGTGACATTTGCTGTTGAGACCCTACCTGTCACACAAGGCATGTCTTCACAATAAAATGTAGTGCAGTAAATTAAGATGTTATCATCCTGTTGTCATTTATCTTCACAGATTCAACTTTCCAAGCTTGATTTCCTTTCCACTTGTATTTTTGTCTCTATAAGCTGTAGTTCTTTTGTTCTTCTTTCCTAGTCAGCCCGTTCCTCTTTATGTCATCAGGCCCGGCCTGTGCTTTGCTGGAATTAGATTATTTACTGGTGTAGAGAGGATTGTATTACATATTTACCTTGAAAGTAATTCACACACCAGATTTCCTTGTTCTTGGTTATGTTTTTTTTTTTATTTTTTTTAACTGTGCAAATCTTGTCTCTATAACCTCAGTCTCTGATTTCCTATTCCTGATAGTATGTTGGAGGCTAGGTAACACCATTCTTATGGATTAATCTATCACCTCTGAATATGTGAGCTTTTTTTCTGCCTTCTTTTTACATAGACTTTTAATGCTTTGTGTGTTGGAGAGATGAAGTCACGTAGTATCACAAATAGTACACCGAAGACTGCCAAGCATTCAGAAAGACCCTACATGTACTTTCTTGCATTATTTCCCAAATACTGCATAATGGAACACCTCTGATTAGTGACATTTGATGCCCAGTTCCAATAGGTACATATATGGGATCCCACAGAGTTTTGCTAGGGAGATCTTAGCTTGTTTTACCAGCAAGGCCGTAGAAGAAGACATGATTAGACCATGGGCCAGATTACTAGGTGTTTTATAGTGTCTACACTTGTTTTTATAAATTTGAGATGGTGGTAGAATTGTCCATTTGACCAAGATTTTTTATAGTGCTGTTTGCTGCAGTTTGCAAATTAACAGAGCTGTGGGGGGGGTGAGTAAAAATAATAGGTATATTAATGCATAGTAAGCAGTCAATAAAAGTATAATAGTGATGAGAATTATGAATAGACTTTATTTTGAAGAGGACAGAGAAAGAGAAAAAGAAGAAGAAGAAGAAGAAGAAGAAGAAGA